TGTTGGTACACTTCCGCATTTAAGAAAACAAAGACTAAAACAAAGAGAACTAAGCAATTAATCCTTTTGTTATCATTAAATGTTAGATTCTTATTTTTTATTGGACAATATTAAGACTTCTGTCTCCGATTGTTATGCATGTATGTGTATAAAATCATGTGAACAACATTATCATGGAAACTCCCATATTCATTCTCATAATGTCTTACAGCTATTTCGCAAATGACACAATCCTAAACAACATATGGACATAATATTGCAGAACTGAGCGAAAAGAAAGGTGGAACAAATCAGATTAAGATATTTTATTTTTGAAATGCACAAGGGCAACAGTTGAAGAACAAAAGTTAAAGGCGTTGTGAAATAGATCGTGCTTTTATATGATCCCCTTCTATAGTACCCTACCCTTTGCATTTATTCGACTTCACTTCTTAAATGAGAGTTTCGTCTTCTCGTAGTTTATAATAAGACTCTGCACGCAGCGTAATAGTGCCCCTATTATCCATGTTCATGTTCTCATTTGATTTTTCATCAGTTATGACTTGGTAACATTTGCTCCGATTTTCATTACGGCGCCCGGCCGATTGAGTATTTTGTTCAGAATTGAATACAATTTCGGGCGCCGGTGCTGAAAATCTGAGCAAATGTGACCACGGCATTATAAAAGCATACTCTTTAATACACGAACAGATTCAAAATGAGACTTTATCTATCAGAGAAATAAAAATGGAAAATTTGTATTCTGAAAATATTAACTGATGCATTGGTTAGTATTAAATATTAAGTTTGACAGTCGGAAACCTCAAGGGGCGGGAAATTTGATTAAACAAAACGCCGGATTAATATCTGGACAACTTGCAAATGAAATGTAAGTAACATGACAGAACGAGTATGAACGCCCAATAAATACTTTTATAGTTTTAATGTGCATTCAAAGGACCCCGTTTGTAAAATTGATAGAAATGAATAGTTTTATTATCGGAAAAAACTGAGAAATATCTACCCGATTCGCCAGAATAGTCATCATCACATCAGTGCGAAAAATTAGCTATATTTATTTTCTATGCGATATACACCTGATATTGATAGCCTTCCACGATCATGGTCCGTTGACATCATCAACCTTGTGATTTGCCATAAGTGATTAACCAACATTTTTTTATTAAAAGTCGGGGTTGACGTTTCTTGACTCTTCACACTGACATCAAAACAAAACATATAATAATTTGAAAATAAAAGGCATAAAATGGCCATTAAAAGTACATTTTTGAACAAAAGTATCAACTTATATTACACTGCACGCAAATGCAAAGTGAAAAGAACGTCTTCCCGGAGATTGAAATACGGATCGGTAAGTCAACAAATCTAACTGTTAAATAAACAAGCTTAGCCTATGTCTGCGATTGTTTGTGTGAGTGGCCAGATGTTATCCGTTTCGGATAATAAATTTCTGAGAATACTACTGATACCTAGAATACATCTTCCGTGATATTTTTTATAAAACAGGCATCTTAGCTGCAATTTTGAATAATAGCGTAATTCATAGCACAATATAAATTAACCCACCTCTGTTTAATTCAAATATGCATTACCCTTAAGATTTATACACTTAGACACCTTTTCATTCTTGATTCGAATTTTTATCTTGTCTTCATCTAAATTTGTGGATTAATAACAGTTTTTAGTATACAAATTGAACATACAAAATGTAGCGTATTGATTACACGTAACAGTGGCGTAGCCAGCTTTCAGTCGGGGGGAGGGGGGGGTGCATCGTGGCATAAAAAATGTTTTTGAAGATTTGTTTTGAATTTTACAAAAATTGGTGCAACTTCGTTCAAAATCGAGCTAGAAGCTTCAAATAAAAAGCATTTTAAGACTTTTTTCTTCTATCTAATAGTTCTATTTTCATTGGTTATGGAGGGGGGGGGGTGCGATCGCACCCATCGCATCCCCCTGGCTACGCCTATGCGCTATATTAATATAACAAGGTTATCATATCATGCCAATAGTTAGATGGTTAACTAATATTAACACAAAATAATAATACACGATAATTAAAAAAATAATCCTCGGTATTCGGGCCTAAAATCCAAGGATACGTGTACCATAACTTAAGTGTAAGCTGCAATACCATATTGAATACCTGTACCATTACTCAATAATAACCACTAGTAAGACCATAATAACAAGCTTAATAACTAGCTTATTGCAAGTTATTTCATACGATTTTGTCTTGTGTTTATTGTTTAGATTAAGAAAACATCAATAAAAAAACAATATAAACACGGATTATAACTACAAAGGCTCTCTAGCCAAAATACAATGTTCACAGCTAAATAAGGCCCTAAATAGCCTTAAATTTTAAGGTGCTATGGAAGTTAACAGGAAATGACAAAACAAAAAATGTCAAAAGTATGCTGGATTTTGAAAATTTTTTGAACCAAGATAACATAGTTCTGTTTGGACCTCCAGTCAGTTTAACTAGTTCCACATATCATTTACATGACCAGGAACACAATGAAAATGGTCAGAATGACCATAAACAAGATGAAATAACCTTTTCAGCCCTCTGAAAATGTGACTGAAAAATCGCTAAAAGTAGGTGCTCAGAGTCAATGAACAGAATCTTTTGATTTTTTCAGAAAATGTGTCTAATATATTGCTCTAAATGATACAATCTTTGAAATTTTAAAATATCGTCTGAAACAATAATGGCTGTAGTTAAAAGGAAAATAGATCTGTTCAGTGACCTTTCCTGAGCACCTACAGTAAAATTCTAAATGTTAGGAACTACTTTGAATTTAAAAAATAAGCAATCAAATGACTATATTGCAACAGTATATAAAAAAAATAGAAACATATGTACTTGTCCTAACTTTTGTATATTTCAGATAGTTATGTATAATGTGCAGTAAAGCTGTGACCTTTTGTAATTTAGGGAGTTTCAGCCATGTTAATTTTTCCGAAAATAACATGGCGGAGAAGCATCAAAATATAAGAGGGCACAGCTATGATAGCTAAACTACAAAACAAACCAAAATATACAAAAGTTAGGACATGTATAAATGTTTCTATTTTTACATATACTGCTTCAATATGGTCCTTTGATTGCTTATTTTTTAAATTCAAAGTAGTTACTAACATTTAAAATTTTACAGCTATTTTTCAGTCACATTTTCAGAAGGCTGAAAAGGTTATTTCATCATGTTTATGGTCATAAACTGATTGGAGGTCCAAACAGAACTCTGTTATCTTGGTTTAAAATTTTTTCAAAATCCAGCATGGTTTTGACATTTTTTGTTTTGTCATTTCCTGTTAACTTCCATAGCACCTTAACACAGTCAGCACTATCAATCGTATATTCTAAAAATAAAGGGAATATATATAGAGAAATTTAGTATTATATCCAGGCCTGTCAACTTGGGAACACCTAACATGAGTGACTTACAAATGTTGAACATCTTTGCTCAAATTTTGGACACCTTGGTCCAAATCTGAACACTTGGGCTTACTTCCTGCGAAAGCTATTTGGATTTTGATATAATAGCTTTCCCACGGAGCATTTGGACAGCTCAATGATCGTGACCTTTGAAATCGAATTAAGTCGATCCGCGGCTTACTTTTGGTCTCTAACTGTGTCTTACATCAGTATCATCAATCCGTGTAAGTATTGGAGCACTGGAGTACTTCTTTTTCGATCAAGACTTGTAATTGTTAGTCGAGTGAATCGTTTTACTGCCAAATTCCAATATGGCGGTTTCTGCTCGGACATTTTCGTAAATCTCCGGAGGTTGTCCGAACCTAACTAATTCTCAAAATTCATTTCGTTCGTTGCGTATCTCGCACCTAGCAAACCGCCATATTGGAAATAGGTCTGTAAAACTTTAACTCGATGAACAATTTACAAGTCTTGATCGAAAAAGAAGTACTCCAGCGCTCCAATACTTACACGGATTGATGATACTGATGTAAGACACAGTTAGAGACCAAAAGTAAGCCGCGGATCGACTTAATTCAATTTCAAAGGTCACTATTGATCAGCTGTTCACTTCTCCGTTTGAGAGCCATAAGTTTCAAAATCTAACATGGCTCTCGAAGTGAGTAAACTTGGGCCACATTTTGAGCACCTTTGTTCACATTTTATTGCATATAAACAAACTTTGAACACCTCAAAATTTTCGCGCTCTCTTCACTCGCGTACTGCCAACGAGAGGGGGGGGGGGGTAGGCATGGAATTTTTCACCTAAAATAGGTGACATATACGGTCTACGCGTGAAAAGTCCGAACAACATGGGGTTTTTTTTTCGACGTTCGGTTTTGTACTGTATCGGCGATCATTTTTTAAAAGATTTTCTACAGGAATATTTTTGCTGGACAATTATCAGGTAAAATGCGTATTTGCGTGACATATTCTGTCACGCACAAAAAACTGGTGTGACTTAAAATTTTCCAGCAAATGCAGGCCTGTCAACTTGGGAACACCTAACATGAGTGACTTGGAAATGTTGAACACCTCCCCTCAAAATGTGGACACCTTGGTCCAAATCTGGACAGCTTAATCCAAATTTTGAACACCTTGGAATACAGAATATTTTGAACGGAATGCGTGACATATCCGTAATTCGCGTGAAAAGTCCGAACGAAATGCGTACGTTTTTTTCCCGTCGTTCGTATTTTTGCTGTGTAGACAATCTTTTTTAGAGAATTTTCTACAGAAATATTTTTGCTTGACAATTACCAGATAAAATGCGTATTTGCGTGACATTTTCTGTCACGCAAAAATAACTGGCGTGACTTCAAGTTCTTCAGCAAATGCGTGACAAATACGCAAATTGCGGGACAGTTGACAGGCCTGCAAATGCGTGACAAATACACAAATTGCGGGACAGTTGGACGGCCTGTACATCTAAGGTAGAGTATACCATTGATAGTGCTGACTTTACTTTGTACCAAGAAAATGACTATAGCCTAATCTATTTTTTAGTAGGCCTACTTACTGTACACTCACTCTGTGCCTAAACCAACTCGCATTTTATCAAAGAATTTACAATTCTGTTATATTCCGCCAATCATAAACTGTCATTGTGTGTATGTTCCCGGTACATATCTTCTTTCTATCGGATAACTATCGGGAAGATAGAAATATATGGTGGGCGATAATTGAGATGGAGTTTTTAACTTTTGGCTTGCTAGATCTACCGAAGATACCTCAAGAAAAGCCGGAGACTGTCGAAGATTTTCTTTGCAAACGAAGTTGACCGAGGGTATCACGAATATGAAAAGGACGTCTCTAATTGGTCGAAAAGTGGCTCGGTAATCTCCGTCAGATTGAATCGGCAAAATTCGGTTGTATGGCTTGCCTTCGGCTACATGGCCCAACCTCGATTGAATGGAAAATTGAAGTGTCATTTCAAAACGAGGCACGCACCCGTGGAGGAAGGAGTCTAGAATAGTAACAATTTACATAAATACTGTATCTTTGCCTTTTTCCAAGTTTCCATCTTATGCTGTTTCACGAGATAGTTTCGGAATATCTAAAAATCATTATTTAAAGTTTCTTAAAGTTTAGAATCTAAATTAAACAACTTAGTCCTCTAGATTATAGGAATAACATTGGCCATATTTGATCAATAAAGTTGCCTAGCAACATACAGCAGTTTGAATGTGGTTTAAGATTGATGATCAACTGTGAAATTAAGCATATATGCATAGAACAAGTACGAGTATCATTATAAAGGCTTATGAGTCCATCAATTGAGCAAAGTTGGAAAATCCTGTAGAAGTCTAGGCCTAAGCAGATTAGGAAAGTCAAAGTGGATTAGCCTACACGTAGATAGACATAATGATTTATCAAAATAAGTTTTGATAAGAAATAAGTGATTTGTTTGGATATTGCAGCCACGCTAAATAATCAAATTAGGATTAGTTTTGTACCAATGAAACGCAAGTGGTACCGCAGCATCAATATTTTGATCTTCACTGCATAAGCTGGTAGAGTTTAGATTTTAAAAGGTGTACTGTGTTATAACAATACAATATACCTAGATAATTTCGGATAATTTAACAATGAATTACACAAACTGTCAAGAAAAATAATACAAGGAATTTTAGGGATAAGCTGTCGATTAAACTATTGAGATGCCGAAGACTAATCAAGGAGGGTTTCCTGCAGGGAATAAGTTGCTACAAAAAAGGTGGGCAGAACAAGCACACAGATTACATGTGCAGAAGGTATGTTCTTACAGTGATGGGTCTGTATTATGATGTTAAAAAGAGATATTTTTAGCTTATTTATTACTTATTTAAAGTCATCCTTGGTCTAAGGGTATTCCAATCCATTCCATTAGACTGGAAACTGAATGCTTGAAGCTTGAAGGAATTTTTAAATTTATTTATTATTCCAGTTTTATTCATAAAATTATACAGTTCAAACAAACAATTACTACTATTTTACGCTATTGTGCAAAATTGTGTTGCGTAGTGTCCGTAGGCCTTGCTAGCAAATATGATGTAATAATTAAACAGATTTCAGTCAATTTGTCAAATTGTTTTACTTCTATATGTACGTAACAAAAGCATCATGATAAGTATCCAAACCCGTCTGGCCCAGTTATCTACTCCTGACGTCGTAGATCTGGGCAAGACGAGGTCTAACAAATTTTTAACAAATTTAATATTATTTTCTGTAGAAAAACTGAATTTTGACTTAAAAAAGGGAACTTTCTTAGATCATTTTCCATGTTTTTTTCCTCTCGGATTGGCCAAGTTCCATGTTTTATGATCAAAGCCAAAATTGACCGTGCTGCACATACCTACCCAAATTATTTGGAGTGAACCCCCCGGGGATTTACTCCGGAAAAAACACACTGCCTTTTCAATGTATAATACGTGCTGATAAATGAATGAACATCATAAAAACACTTACGAATTTGTTCCTTATATCAAACTTTGTATATTAGGTTTCCATCGCTGGATGACGGCTAATAAATAAGAATGAAACGATTAAATGCAGCAAAAAGAAAAATTCTTCTGCAATCTGTTCGTGATCTCATAGAATATCCAGAAGTCTCGATTTGTTCCTTGTATCAAACTTTGTATATTAGCTTTCCACCGCTGGATGACGGCTAATAAATAAGAATGAACAGATTAAACGCAGCAAAAAGAAAAATTCTTCTGCAATCTGTTCGTGATCTCGGCTCGGCTGCATATTTCGTTCAGTACTACATTCGGTCAGTTCAACAAGTTGAAAAATCGTATTTAATGTCCACCATATTTCTTTCAAGTCTCAATACAACACAGATGCGTCTGTTTTATAAAGTAATCTACATTTTGATAACAAAATCTGCTGAAGAAATCGTAATATTTCGAATGTATTGATTCCCGGGAAATGTATTTTCGTTCCATGAAAGTATAAAAATTTATCGCGTCACACTTGTGTTACGTCACATCACGTGACTTTATTCAGTGCGGAGAACTGACGAAAATATTGATGAAATGTTGTGCCCATTTCAACATCAATATAATAAACAAAACACCACTTTTACGTGTAAGTAATATACTCTTTATTTCAAATAAATACTTTGGTTTACATGGAGCCCGATTTTTATTGTATTGTATTTTGTTTACCACCAATGAAGGTGAGCAATACCTCTTGGGTATATCCCATATACAGTAAAACCTGCGAACAGGGAATGCTCTTCGGACTGGAGGAAAGTTTCCTTGTTCAGAGGTTTTCCCTATAGAGAGGGGCCGCACTTTCAGCAAACTCAGAATTGCCGAATAAACATTTTTTTGTATATATTTGGGCATTAATTGATTTTACCAATGCCGACTCCATACTTGGTTGCTAGACCTTGTTGTGACATCTTGGAAGATGTATGAAGGTCTCCCACCTCCCTCCTTTAGCTGAGGTTAAGGAGCATTCTCCCGATGTTGATTTTAGCTGCTGCTGCTGGCGTATGATGATGTCTAGTGGTTGTAATTGTTGATAGATTTGGCTCAACATGACACATGTACTTATCTGTTATCTCCATAAAACAATTGTGTCAATCCCTAGATTATCACAACTGATTTGATGTAATTATGTTTGTTGAAAGGAAGAATTAGTGTCATGATAATTAGTAACAAACAGATTAGTATTAGTTTTAAAATATATCAGGGTAATTAACAGTGGGTGGGATGCTACATCTTGTAAACAATTGGCTTATCTTAATCTCAATCATATTAATCCAAGCTTTTTAGAATCAGATATTGGCTTAAGACTTTCACACCTCTGAAAAATAATGGAATATACAGTGTCACCAATATTCCATATTCCTTGTTCACAGGTGAATTTTCATAATTTGCACCAAAATACTGTTCCTTGTTCCCTGTTCAGAGGTTTTCCCTACAGAGAGGGTCCGTTAACATGTAAGTCAATGGAAAAATATTTGGTTCTTTTGAAAAGCATTCCTTGTTCATAGGTTTTCCCTACAGAGAGGTATTCCATCGGACAGGTTTTACTGTATATACGGTCGTAATTTACGTAATTAACCTGGAAGATAGACCCAGAAACGGCTTTGTATAAAAAACCTCCTACCTCATACCCACCTACCCACCTACGTGGAACATGATACAGTCATTGAAGGGTTCAATTTTAAAGATTATTAAATCTCAAAATAGCTCAAATTATAACATTTCTATACAATTCCGGCTTTATTTCATGACTAGACAGATGAAAGATCCATAAATAAATAAATATGGATGCATTTTAATGTGTAATGACCCGAGGGCGCCCCAGGGGAATAAATAACTAAAGACCGCGAGCATAGGTCCAACAAGCCAGATAAAGAAATTAAAGAAATTGTGCTAAATCCGATGCCCCGAGAAGAAATCGAACCCAGCTGGGATGTAGTAGCAACTTGCTACCAAGGGTCGTTACAAATGCATCTATAATTCATCATAAACTAAGATTTAATAAACTAAGATCTTTAAAATTGAACCCTTCAAAGACTGTATCATGTCCCACGTACGTGGGTAGGTGGGTATGAGGTAGGAGGTTTTTTATACAAAGCCCCCAGAAACCCCTTCTTGAAGGAGCCCTGTGTTCTTTTATGTGCACTTATACATATATAGACATACAAGTACACACCACAGCCTTTTGTACGAGTTACGGACCACTCAGTCAAACACCCTGAAGTACTTCACGCAAACAAGCAAATTTAAGCCTGAACCAGGGATCGAATCCGGGACCTATTGCGTAAGAGGTACATGCGCTACCGCTGAGCTATACGGGTGGACTTTTGCTTTGGTTGGATGGCTAATAGGGAATGAATAATAAGTGATGATTAAGCGACATGTTTTTTCCGGAGTAAATCCCCCCTTTTTTGCATTGGACCTCGTCTGGCCCTAGATATACGACATTTCAGAATCGGGGAGTAGGTATCTGGGCCAGACGAGTTTGGTTACATGATAAGGTAATACCTACCTCAAAGATACATAATTAGGTTTGTTACTTCATTATTATGATGCCTTTATTACATAGATGTAAAACAATTTGACTAATCGATTGAAATCTTTTAACAATTAACCTATTATATTTTACCAATTTTCAATATGAATAGAAGCCTATTACACAATTTATGGTTGACAAATGTATCAAATTAATGATCTAAAGAATTAACAAAACCCCCATACTGTAGATTTATATGTACCATGATCTTTATGTTAAAGACAAATAAAAATTGCCCCTTCACTAAACTGTAACCCCAGCTGTAATAAGCACCAAATAAAAATCGCCAATTCACTAAACTGTTACTTCTGTATCAATTACCAAATAAAGTTTGGCCATTCCTTCTCTACCGTACTGTTACCTATGTGCTGTATCAAGCGTTAAGAGGCTATTTGCCCTCTTTACTAAACTGGCCACTCTGTATCAAACGCTTGTTATACTATTAATTTACAACTTCATTGAAAGAGACATGTATTTCTCAAATCAGTCATAATATGGCACTAAGAAAATGGGCCTTCGCACATGTTAAACTTTTTCTTCAAAACTCAAGTTTATATGATTATCTTTCGAACTAGAGACTTACATGTACCTCATTCAAAAGATCCCAAAAGACTTTATCTATACTGAAAATCTTAGATACCAGCATAGTAGAATACACCGTCAGTCCGCTCTTGATTTTTTGAAGTGATCTTCTGTAGATTGTCAGATTTCTCTGAGTGTTATCGGGTTATCCCAAATTGGTTTGTTTATAAATACAAATTTCTGCACCCTTGTAAGACGCATGCGCGGAATTTATTTATAAATTTGATTGGCTAATGATTTTCTCCTAACCATGCATAATTAGTCTGATGAACACTTATGATAAAGACACGTAGCCAAGTAGACAAGATCATTTTGCTATGCTAATTACATTACACGGTGTTATAGCATGACGGTTACATCAAGGCGATTTGCAAAATTTTGCTGTAACGATAACAAAAAATGACGGATGGGAAAGACCTCTTTCTCACCTGTAGGCAAGATTCACAGATAAGATTTCCTTTTCAACTAGTTCCATTTGATGACGTATAAATGTATATGGATGGTTATAAAGACTGGGCAAATTTGCCAGGTGGTGCTGAGATATCAAAGTTCATAATTTTTAGTCCATTCTCATTTTTTCTCAGTATATGTGCCTCACAGCCACTCAAACTATTAACTGTCAGTAAACTATGTATGAACAAGCCATAAAATGACAAATCCAGAACCGGAACGTGGTGTATATTGTAAATAGATATATGTCATGATGTAGGGGAGAGATTTTGTGCTACATTTGGACTTAGAATAAAATTCTCAATCAAAAGAGATAACGTATATGCATAAAATGGACCCTATTGAAAAACTAACACAAATGGCCAAAAGTAGCACAGAGTCCAGCCTAAGGTATCAGAATCTATCGATAGACTTGACTCTGTTCATTTTCTAAAAATGTGCTACTTTTGGCCATTTGTGTTACTTTTAAAAAAGGTATCAGAATCTATCGATAGACTTGACTCTGTTCATTTTCTAAAAATGTGCTACTTTTGGCCATTTGTGTTACTTTTAAAACAGGTAAGGGAATACATAAATGGACTATGGAATATGCTCATTTTGGATGTTACTTTTTAAAAGTGAATATGTTCAATTTAGTGCAAGACAAAGATAGTACATTGTTTCTTACAATTTGTTTAAGTCAAAAAGTAGCACAAAATAAAACCCCAAA